CCCCCCCCCACCCCGCCCCGCGGGGCGCATAACGTTTTACTCGAGGGAAAGACTACAAACTTATTTTTTGGATAATTGGTTGTGAGCATTTTTTTTACAATTTATTTAACTTTAAGTATTATCTTTAAACTTATACTCTATTAAATCATATTTTTCATCAAATAGTTGTTAACAAATATACATTTTAAAATATTTCAAATTCTTTTTGAAATGTATTTCAGAATTATCTTTATCATAAATATTGTCTATCATTTGTAATTTCAATGTTTTCAAATATAACAACTCTTAATTTGGAAATTGTGTTAGTATTAAAATTATTTTTCAAAAATATAATAAATACTCACATATAGTATTACTCTATTATAATAATTAAATTTTTTGATTAAGTTTTTTATTGATCATGTTATTATTTGATGCTATTTTTTTTTTTGAACATGTTACTGTTTGATGTTAGTATATTTTTTGTTGAACGTGTTACTGTTTGATATTACTATATATGATAAAAATATAATTTTAATGCTAGCACAATTTCTAAGATAAGAATTGTTAATACTAATATAATTCTCAATTTAGGAGTTGTTAGTTTTTTTAAACAAGTTTTAATTAAATATAATTATTGAGGATATTTTGAACAATGAAAATCAAAATAAACTTATCTCCAAATAAATGTTTTAAGTATACTTAAATCCAAATAAGTCTAAAAAAAAAGATTGACCTTCAAAGAACCTCTTATTTTTCATTGATTTATTAAAAAGTGAAAATTACGATTCAACCGAGCCCAAGTATTAACAGGCTGCCCAGATACTTACAATTTTATAGGATTGATTACAATTATTCTCAACCCTTTCGAACTCCAATTCGAGTTTAAGTTTGGCTGTAACCCGATTAAGTCGTGACCCATTCGAATTTTTCCGATACCATACCCAATTAGGAACCTAATATAGACTTGTTAATGGATCGAATTTTGACTAATCTAAATTCGATTTCAATTTCACATGCCCAATTTGAATCTGATCTAATTATTTGGTGAATTTTATTTTTGTAGTTCATATCTAAATCTGTAATCAATCTAAAATCTGTTCCGATATGAATAACTTAATTTAACAAATTACATCTAAATCTTAACTAAATTTCTTCAAATAATCACTTAAATTTTTTAATATTTATATGAAATATATACGATCATCGGATATAGGTATACTTAAAATCCGAATTCGTGAAATATAAAAAAACAAATTTGGATTCTAATTCAAATTATGGAAAAAAAATCCACTAATCAGATTCTAATTCGGGATCAAAATCTGATCCAGGCCTAATCCAACCCTTCCTCGCCCTCAACTTCACAGCTGCTCAAAGACTATAACGATATTTTGATAATTCAAAATTGAGTTTTAATTGTTGAAAGCTTTGTACAAATAGAGATCGAATTCATCGGCAAATAACCCCGCCCCCTACTGCCCTACGATCTCTCACAGCTAATCCAAATCGATGTCTGAAGGGATTCGAGTGAGTTAAATCTCATCCAATTCAAAAACTTTAGCAAACAATAATCCAAAAATTTTAATTTTTCTTGTTCCAATAATTTGTATATGTAAATTATCCCATGTGATATACGGTCGAGTGATTAATACTGACTCAAATTTAGGCTCTAGGTGAAAATATTGGATAGGACCCTATGACAAATATAATATAGATACAGCAAAATAATTATTCAAATATTAATAATATTTATTTTTAAAAAAATTCTTATTTTTGTGATGCAAAAATACAAATTCAATAGACAAAAATTTTGCATTCAAATTTTTTCGTTTATAATTCCATTAATTGAAATTAAATTTATAGACAAAAATATAATAAAATCTGCTATTAGTTAAAAATATAGAAAAAAAGAATTAAAATTTATTAATATAACAGAATAATTTTCCAAATAATGAATGTTAATAGGATTTTTGAGTAGTAAGCTACTCCAACCCACTTTATTTTTTAACTACATTGTGTTTGTTGTGTATTGAAAAATTTTTAAAAAAAAACTAAGTAAAAACTCCGACACAAACGAAAATTGTCTCGAATCTATACTAACACTTGGTTGCTTGTTTCGTGGTTCTTGCAAATGAAAATCTCTACCCACCCATTTGTATGTCTTTTGCCTTTTTTTTTTGTTCAACGATTAGGGATATTTAGGTCAATTTGCGCACATCTCGATTAATTTTCTCCTTGATTTGATCAAATAAAAGTCATCCATGTTCAAGACTAGGGTATTCACGAGAGATATATCCTTCATTGCGTGACCCTAAATGGTTGATAAGATTCGAATCAGAACGCTTGATTTTACAATTCATAACTGTTATTACTTAATCAACCTCTTGGGTTATAGGACTTTTATCTTATCATGAATGACTATGAATGTTATATATATATGGTATCTCTAGAATTTTTCGTGCAAATATCTAGTTTTTTAATATATATTAAAATATTTTAGGTCTCTCTTATAAAGCTTCTCCTAATATTCTTTGTATATTCTTAAATGATCCATGGATAAGGCTTCAATAAAAACCCCGTTTGAGGACCCTCTAAAATATTCCTTCTTCAAGGGGTCTTAAAATTAAATAACTTATTAAAGTTGTTTGAAATTTTCATGAAGATGAAATGTTAGAAAAGTCTCACTTAAAGTAAGGTATTGTGTATTGAGATAACTCATTTTTTTAGAATTTACATAAAAATTAGGTAAGATTGAAAAAACAAAGCTAAAAAAAACATTAATTCAATTGTGTCGTATCAAAATTGGTTCAATTTATAATCTTATATAATCGAATTTGTACTATATATAAGTTATGTTTAACAGTTTTGTTTCGTGTTTAGTTGAATTTGTGTTGACATTTTATTTGAGAGACTTATTAAGTTAATTTGTTTATCAACCATGTCTACTAAGACTAAACTCAACTTCACTATTTTTGTATTGATTTTTTATTGAGTTTGTATTTCATATCTAAAATTGTCTTAAAACTAGAGGCTCTAAAATTTTTGCAAGTGATTCTAAATTTTTTTTTGAGGATCCAAATATATTTATTAAATTGGGAGGCGGCCTCCTATTCCTAAGGTTGGTGCGGCACCTAATGTACCACATCATTCTAGTAAAATCTCAACGTTAAGCATTGTATTCCATCAAAAAAAATAAATAAATTAGGAAATCATATAAACTTTCATAGTTAATAAACACAAACTTTCATTGTATACGGGGGTGGCTCAAGGACATGTGAAGCGTAAAGCAATAAGTGTCAACGAGAACTATTATTCTTTTTAGTAATAATTTAAATTTTTGAGATTCAAAATTACTTTATAAATTGTTTTATCCAATTTTTCTAAGATATTTTTTAATTGATAAGATGATTTTCGATTTTAATATTTAAAAGGCATACTATCTATTATTTCATTACCATTTTATTTTCCTTTTTTTGTTTTGTATATTCTTTATAAAAATTGTGGTATCACGTAATCGACTATCAATATAAATACATTCATTATTCATTGTTATCTTTTTATTGAATTACTTCACTATCTTTTAACTTTTTTATGAACTTTAGCGAGTTTTAATCATTGATTTATACTATATTATTGAATTCTAAAATTTGGGACCTAATGGGAATTTGTATAATGGGAAAAAGAAAAATAAAAAACTGAAAACCCAACATAGCACAGTTGTTTATAGTAAGTGGATTGCTAATTGAGAAGAAATGATAAATTGTGGTAATAGCAAAAAGTCACAAACCTTTTTAATAATAAAAAATTTAAGTCTATTGTTATACGTCTGAATCCTATTACACTTCTTTTCAATATTGAATTGTACTTTGGGTAGATAATCTTAAAACAGAGATAGGCATTTGAGCAATTTGGATAAGGATTAATAACTGAATCTTATTCCTACTATATGTCTTCATGTATGTATGTATATATATATATATATATATATATGGATACGCTTTGTTTCCTCTAATCTAATCAGTAGCCATGAGTTGTTCTAAATATTTTGTTTGTTTTGTGTTTTCACTGCTGATTTTCAATTTTTGTGCCAATGCTGTTGAAGTCTCCCATGATGGAAGGGCTATCACCATTGATGGAGAACGTAAGGTTCTTCTATCTGGTTCGATTCACTATCCACGAAGCACACCCCGGGTAAGATATAATCTCATTAGGATATTTATTATTGGTGTTAGTTAAGAATGAAAAGTTGGATTCTGTTTCCACCAAAACGACCATGGTTCAGTGATTCAACGTTGAAATTCCCTATGATGTTTAGAAGAGTTTTGGGCTATAAAGGCACAGATGCTTTGTTGAAGTCGGCATACTCGAGAATAAAACGTATTTGTTAATAATTAAATATTATGATTCTTCACGGATATTCGTTAGATATTTTTGTTTTCAAACAATATATGTATAGTTTTTGAGTTAAATTTTTAACATTTTTTTTCGAATTCATGTACCATATACAATACATTAGCAAAAATTTAAATTACTTCAAAGGCGCATGAGTATTTTTTAAGTATTATCTATAATTACATGTCAAAAAAGAGCAAAAAATAAATCTATTACATTTATAGTCTTTAACAAAAAATTACTTTTAAATAAACTCACTCGGTAAATATTAATTTTAATTCCATTAATTAATTATTTCACTCAATAAATATACCATAGTGATACGATATATATTTTTTTAAAATTAAAAAGAATTATTAAGTTTAAAGAACTATCAAAATATATAAATATTAAACTGATTGAAAATAATAAAAATATTTTATTATAGCCGATTCTTGGCCAGACCCCTATCTCGTATTCCTATCCGGGCTTCATAGGTTTTGGGATGTTTCCATAGGATTCGGAACGTAGAAAATTTTTTTTGATCTTGGAGTTAAGTGTGTAAAAATTTTGTTGGCCGGCAGGGGACATGTTTGCTGAATGAATAATCTTGAGTCGAGCCTCTTTACTTGTCCAAAACATAATTTATGATGCTCTAATGTGAAAGCTTGTTGTTGTTGTATTGAAATTTTAAAATTGAGTTGCTTTTGTTTGAACAATTGTTAGATGTGGCCGGATTTGATTAAGAAAGCCAAGGAAGGTGGGATAGATGCTATTGAGACTTACGTTTTCTGGAATGCTCACGAGCCACTACGTCGTCAATATGACTTCACTGGCAATCTTGATCTCATAAGGTTTCTCAAAACTATTCAAGATGAAGGACTTTATGCTGTGCTTCGAATAGGGCCCTATGTCTGTGCTGAATGGAATTATGGGTAACTTCTGTTTTTTTTTTTTTTTTTTTTTTTTTTTTTTTTTTTTTTT